GTATCAATTAAAACAGTGTATTGTGTATTTTTAAAAAAAATGTTGTGGGGATAAAACGAGGACCTGGGGGAGTACCATGCATCATGCTTTGAGATCTTTGAAGGAAATGTATCAATGTAAAATAATTAATATGAATAAGGACAGATTCCAGACAGGCAAGATCACTCAGTGAGCGACGTTCCTTGTGGGGGCTGGATAGAGAGAGCCAGGGTGGGAGACACATTTGACCCACCAGCAAGCCTGAGGTTCCCCACCCCTGCCCTACTCTGAAAGGGAGGGGTGATGCTGGATATTTAAAGGACTCACAGCATCAGGTCATGACACAAACATTTGCATCAAAGTTGTGGGTGCCAATTTAATATGCATAGATGCTTTGAGGAAATTAAGGTGCCCCATGATCAAAATAAAGACATTTTTAAAGCTGGTGAAAGTGGGGAGGGTTCACTGCAAAAGACTCCCCTGCTGTAAGGTCCACAGTTTCCAGCTACATTAGAGCCTGGCAAGGCCTATTTTCTGAACTGTGAGCAACCTGTTTCCTTAACAGCTGGTTATTATTGGAACTTTCTAACTTTAATAATATGAACAAAAAAAATTCCTTCCAGTAGCACCTTAAAGGCCAACTAAGTTAGTTCTTGGTATGAGCTTTCGTGTGCATGCACACTTCTTCAGATGAAGAAGTGTGCATGCACACAAAAGCTCATACCAAGAACTAACTTAGTTGGTCTTTAAGGTGCTACTGGAAGGAATTTTTTTTGTTTTGACTATGGCAGACCAACACGGCTACCTATCTGTAACTTTAATAATATGGTGCCTGAATTTGCTTGCTTTTCTCTTCCCTCCTCATTCCTTTTCCCTTTTGTGTCATGTTCTTTTTATATTGCACACCTGAGGGCATGGGTGGTGCCCTTTCTACTGGCTTGCAACCCACTCTGGCCGATCAACTGAATATAACCATTGGACAGGCTGGCAAGGGCTGATGGGAACAGGAGTCCAACACTATCTGGAGGCCCAAAGGTCCCCACCCGTCTTAAGACTTAACAAAGAAGAACGGCCACATCAACATTCGCAAGTGCATTACACTTTGTTCACTCCAACCTGAATTAGAAGAGTGCTGAAGTTGAATTTATAGTTCCTGGTTTTAAAAAGGTACTTTGTGGGTCCTGTTGAAACACACACACACACACACACTGTGTGTGTGTGTGTGTGTGTGTGTGTGTGTGTGTGTAGCAAAAATAGACAGTTAACAAGCAAGTCAAAAATGTTTGAGATCTAGAAATATTCACACAGAATACAGCAATCATTGTAGAGCCAGGAAGTCTGGGAGAAACCAACCTATTATTTGGAGTATTTATATATATATAAAATGGATTCTGTCTGCTCCAAGATTACATTTTGTTTTCTATCTTGAGTTGCTAAATAAACAGCATTGCAAACCTAAACGCTAATGCCGGGTCATTATGTGCACTCAGAGGTACGATTTTGAGTCTCTGACCTAATGCAGCCCTTTCCTATGCTATATATGAAACACACAAGTCTAGTGTTACGCAGGTTTAATTAGGGATAACTACATGGTACGTCCATTGAACCACACATGGAAGATTAAGCAGCAGCAGGAGCAAACCCATTTCAAAGTTGTTTTCTGGAAGGGGATTAAAAATAGACCCTGTGTGGCAATTGAAGACTCTAGACTTCAGGCAAAGCTCAAATCTTAGGTTGATGGAAAGAGATGATCAGTCATGAATCCCAAGGCTGCATCTGCTATTAACTCCCGGCATTGCAGGATTCAGATTTGGAGCAAGGAAGTGCTAACACTTACCTTCTTCCCATGGCTACCAATTAAGAAGTGGCTAAGGATAACTCATTGAATTTCACCATTTTTCATGGGGCAAAACTGATTTACTGCTGTGCTGAAACTGGTCCTCCAATTTCTCAAAAATTTCTTTCCCACCCATGTTGCTACCTGCCCCACACAAGATTTAGGGATGGGCAAATGGGTCAATTTAAGCTTCTCTAAGGTTCTCCACATTTAGTTTTTAATCCACATTTTCAGTTTTTTAAAAGTCCCCATTAAAAACTTCAGATTTTAGTGCAAGTTTCCCCTAATTCACACATTTGTGTACACAATTTTGCCCAATATACCTTTTTTTGCAATGCAATTTTCTCGAATATAATGCATTTTTGCACTTTATTTTCACCAATATGTGCCATTTTATGCATACTTTACCCTAGTATAGGAATTTTTGTACACGACACGTGGCTGGAGAACTGCATTGCAAATTCCAGAGAAGTGCACATTTTTAAGAACATCTGAGTTCTGGTTCACTTACTGTCTCATATCACTTTGGGACATTTTAGTTCAGATACAAGGTATGACAGACAGATGTTTATAAAATTATGCAGCGATGCCAACCTGAATAAAATATTGGGGGAGGGGCAGGTAGGTAAACCCCGCCCCATTATAATCAATCACAAGAAGTGGCACACACACCATTTGAATGGCAATGCCCATCAACTTTGGCAGGAAAGCCCCCTCAAATATTTTAGGGGAGGGTGAAGGGTCCTTGGCCCCTAGGAGTTGGCTCCTATGGCAGAGAGAAATCGGAGAGAGAAAAGGTTTTCACCCTCTCCCATAACACCAGAACTCAGAAACAGCCTATGAAACTGAGTGTTAGAAGACCTAGGACAGAAAATATCCTTCTTTATGCAGGAAATAAAACAGTGGACCTCACCCCCATAGGAGGCCATCAACCTAGGTGGTTTTAAGAGAGGATTAGACAAATTCATGGAGGAGAGGGCTATTGATAGGTACTAGCCATGATGTCTATGCTCTGTCTCCACAGTTGGAAGGCAGCAATGCTTCTGAATATGAGTTGCTGGAAACCACAGGAGGTGAGAGTGCTCTTGTGGTCAAATCCTGCTTGAGAGTTTCCCACAGGGATGTGGTTGGCCACTATAAGAACTGGATGCTGTACTAGATGGGCCACTGATGTTATTAAAAAAGGTAAAGGACCCCTGACAGTTAAATCCAGTCATGAACGGCTCTGGGGTTGCGGCGCTCATCTCACTTTACTGGCCAAGGGAGCCGACATTTCTCCAGACAGTTTTTCCGGGTCATGTGGCCAGCATGACTAAACTGCTTCTGGCAAACCAGAGCAGCGCACAGAAACACCGTTTACCTTCCTGCCAGAATGGTACCTATTTATCTACTTGCACTTTGAGGTGCTTTCGAACTGCTAGGTTGGCAGGAGCTGGGACCGAGCAACGGGAGCTCACCCCGTCATGGGGATTCGAAGCGCCGACCTTCTGATCAGCAAGCCCAAGGGTTCTTGTAAAACACAGGATTTCCATTACAGCATCTGACTGGTGCTTTTAGAAGAAAGGAGATCAAGTGCAAACTGGAGAAAGGCATCTGTAGAAAGTGGGTATATCTCCAGATATCATAACTTCCTTGTGCACATCCATCAGGATTTTAAGAGTTTGGTATGCTCCTTCTTACTTTACAGGTTTTTCAGCTGCAAACACCCTAGTGCCTATGGTGCAGTGCAAAATGGATCTAACAGAGGTCCTTTCAAATACTGAGATCAGTATAAACCATAATCCTTCCTTAAGCTGTATCCCCATTTATTCCCTTGGGACTTTCCTGTCTTGAATGCTTGGGCTTATGGCAGATGAGTCTGGGAGGGAAGAATGCGAATACATCGGGTGCATCTCCAGCAGACCCACAACACCTATGCACAACCATTTAATGCTCAAGGGTTGAACCCGGGTGAATGGGTGCCCGTAGCCTTTTAGAGCTCCACACACTGAAGAGGGAAGCCTGGCAGCAATTTCTCAGGAATAATTTACTTCCCCTTTTCTACCACACAAGGTAACTAAGGGAAGTGGCATATGGTCCTTCTAAAGGACACCAAGATAAAATATGACAGGTCAAAGCAGCGATCAGATCAAATGAAGGCAAACGGAACCACACTGGAAATGAAATGTGTGCACACAGAAAATAAAGCAGAGGAGAGGGGAAATGCTTCCACTATTTTTGAATTATGTACGAAGTCTGTGGCACCAGCTGTTGTCACCAACCCATAGATATAGGAGCCTTTCCTACATGACAAATAAAAAAAGAATTCATTTTGGAAGGAGAGAGAGGAGAAACTAGAGGCAGCTTATATTATTAAGGAATCTTTTTCTTTCTAAAAACTGCCGGGCAGGAAGGGGAATATAACCATCAAAGGTTGATTTTTGAAAAATAAAATGCCAATGTTATGGAAGCAAAACTGGATTGGACAGGTGATGAAAAAGGAGTGGGACGTCTTAAATGAGCAGCTGAGAGATTATTTTTATGGACCAGTGTTTAATAAGCACCTGAGCGTACAATACAAAGCAGAAATCCATGGCACTTGATGCAGTTATCTTTAGCAACGGAGGAAGCTGCCTTATGCTACATCAGGCCATTGGTGCATCTTGACTGCATGGGCTGTCAGTGGCCCCAACAGGGATTCAGACAAAGGACATGTCCATCCTGACCTGAAAATGCAGGTGACTGAAGCCGAGACTTCCTGCAAATTGAGGAAGGTTGCCTTGGTAAACCACCATGTGCCAGCCTCGAGCTTTCACCTATATAATGGAGATAGCAATAATGACCTTCTTCACAGAGTGGTTGTTGTTGGGCAGGGATGGAGGACCCATAGCCCTCCAGATGTTGGTGGATTGTATTTTTTCCATCACATTTGGCCTTTGGCCATGCTGGCTGAGGATGAGAGAGGGCTGGAGTCCAGCAACATCTGCATGGCATATGCAGGGTTTTGAGGAGCAGGGCAGGAGAAGTGGGGACAAAGTACTACAGCTACCTGCCAGCACCTGCTGAGACTAGTTTATTGTTTTATTAATTGCATTTCTCTCCAGCCTTTTTCTCCAAGGAGTAAAAGGTGACATACGTGGTTCTCCCCCTTCCTCATTTTAATCCCCACTACCACCCTGTGAGGTAGGTTAGGCTGAGAGGCAGTGACTGGCCCAAGCTTCATGGCCAAGTAGGGATTCAAACTTGGTCTCCCAGGTCCTAGTCCAACACTTTAACCACAAAACAGGGTGGCAGGAGGAGAAAACGGCAACTTGTAAAAGCTGTTTTTGGACTTCTACACTCCCCTCTCTTTCCTGGACACACAGACTAAATTTTGCCCAAATATTCACCCTGAAGAACAGATCTTAATGAGTCCCTAGCATTTCAGGCTTTGTGTGGCGAATGCAATTTTGGTTGAAACTTCCACATGCAGAGCATTGCTTTAAGACAGAGAACCGACTTCCGAGACTGTTCTTGCTATCTTAGAAATGCATTGTGCATACCAGCCTTTGGGGTCGAGAGCCTCCGTTTATTCCCTCTATTGTTTAACAGCCAGTGACTTGTTTATAACGCTGCATATTTTTCGACAGCTAGCCATAAAGAATGAAAAGCGTCATTGCTGTAAGCAAGGGAAAGAAAAGGGAGGGGGATAGCCTTCCCCCTTTGCCTACCCCTGAAGAGCTCATTTTCACATTACTCAGGCTTCATTATGCTGAATCAATATTCGTTTAGTCACTGAGGTTATTGACATATTTTAAAATAAAAGCATACCCTTCAGCTACTGAACTCATTACAGGTAATTTGTCTTGTCAGGGACCAGGGAATATTATCCCTCGTCTTTCAGAAGCCAACAGCCCATGGAAATACATCCCCATGGTTACAACTGTAAATAATTTTAAGGTAAAAATATTGAAAAATCAATGGCTGTTTCCTGCAATCTGTCACAAACAAATCAATCATCATCCGCGTAGCTGGCAAAGTAAAGATTTGAAAAGGAGATGAGAGAGCCGCGGTAATTCTGGGCCGAAATCTTCTCATTTCAAAAATCACTTCACATAATGGTGTCATCATTTAAACACTTAGCAGGCGCTTCTGCCTCTGCTGTCAACATCACTCACCGCTCCTCGTTGTGCAGGAAGTCCGCCCCGCGTAAAACAAGCCTGCCGTCTTAAAAATGCTAACGGAGTTAAGTAAATTTTAGCCACTCGAAGAGTCGGCTCTTGGCTTCGTCCGCAAGCTCAGAACAAATCAATGGCTGTTCTTCCTCATAAAGATTCTCTATAAATTCACCTCTGAAGATGGATTGTGCTCTAAAGTGTAATCAAGGCGGCACTTTAGATGTAGACGCAGATAGGGAAAACAGCGGCTTCTGTGTTCTGCTTTCATTTGGAAGTTCCCCAAACAAACCTGGGCAGAAAAATCTAAGCCATTTTTTTTTTTTTTCTCTAATGAGATCCAGTGTGGTGCTATAATAGCTAGAGTGCTGGACTACGACCTGAGAGACCAGGGTTCGATTCCCCACTCGGCCATGAAGATTCATTGGGCCAAGGTCTCTGGGCCTAACCTACCTCCCGGGTTTGTTGTGAAGCACAAGATGGGGAGGAAGAGACTCCTGCACACCACCTTAAGCTCCTCAGGGGAATGGTGAGGTATCATTATAACTAATACATTAAAGACAGAATTAAAACCATAATTAAAGCCTCATATGGAGAGATCAGGCTTCTGGCCCCCTTAGTTCTCACTGTGGCCACCCAGATCCCTGTGGGGAAACTTATATTATATCAGATATAATAAAGAATTATTATTCTGGATACAGTGAAGAAGCTATTTTACTCTGTTCTGTCACCTATAGGACATTTCTAGAAACAGCAAAACAACACTAAGCTAGCTTATTTAATGAGAAAAGCTGATAATCATTATTCATATAGTGCTTTTCTCCCTGTGCCACCGTTCCCCAACCTGACATCCACCAGATGATTTGGACTACAGTTCCCAACATCCTAATTATTATTATTTTTAATGCTTTATTGGTTTTAAAAACATAACAAAACAAATACCAAACCAGACAATATATAGCAATCAACAAAAGCCAACATCCCTAATTATTATGTTGGCCAGGGCTGATGGGAGTTGTAGTCCAAAATGTAAGGACACCAACAGGTTGCAAAAGGAAAGTTGTCCTAAGCGTTATTCCGTGGCATAGGAGATAGTTCAATCAATAGCTACATGGATCATTTTAGTGTGTGTGTTTTTAATGCTTTTGAGGGTTTTTTTAATATGTTTTTTCTTTGTGTTTAATCACTTTTGTGTTTACCGCTCTGGGCTACTTTGGGAGGAAGGGCAGGTTAAAAATATATAAAGAAAAAGGAACCTCCAGTTTCAGAGGCTGTATATCTCAGTATTAGATGCTCCAGACATCAACCAGACAGGACAATTCCCTTAATGTCCCGATTGCAGGCTTCCCAATGGTGGCGGTTGGGCTACTGTCAGAAGCAAGATGCTTTCACATTCTCTTCACTATAGCAACCTAGGAGTTCCCTAGATGGGGTGGCCAAGGATTCAGCTTTCTTCAAAAAATAAAAAAATGGTGGTGGTGCCTTGCCGCCTTTCACTTCTGTTTATTTGGTGAGCAACTTCCATGTGTGCCTTAGGAAAGCCGTGCAAACTACACCTGAAAAACAGAAGAAGGAAAGAAAAGAAAGCTACATTTATAGGCCAAATGAGTGGACACAAGCAGACCTTTTACAAAATGGTGGAAAGGGCAAAAGGTAGGGATGGGTGAATCTGTCAATCTCACTTCCTTTCCAATTCTCCTGTTTCTAATCTTAAATTCAGTTTGCCACATTCGACAACTATTTATTTAAACTCTCTCACATTTTAACACAAATTTCACCTGATTTGCACCTTTGCATCAGGAGACCTGAAATAAAGAGGCAAAACACAGGTGTGGGGTATAACCAAAGCCACTTTATTCCCCTACAACGTTAAGAGTTTATGAACCGAATCGGGAGGGGGGGATATCGGCAGGAAATATTCAAAACCTTCTATCAGGCTCCCAAGCCTGCCATGAACCAGCTAGCCTGCCCTCTTTTCCCCTGCCACGCCCGTTAGCACAGTGGCTAATCATAGGTTTGGAGAGGATTTTTTGTTTTGCTCACAAAACATACCAGGCTATTAATCAAAGGCATCCTAGAGCCAAGGCAGGGAAGCTATGGTCCTCCAGATGCTGTTGAACTCCAACTCCCATCAGGCCCAGCACACATGGCCACTGCTCAGGGATGAAGGGAGCTGTGATTCAGCAACATCTGGAGGGTCAAAGGTTCTCCGCTTCTGCTAGTGAGGGTTCATGCTCATAGAAAAGCAAGATAATCAATACTGAATATGAAGACGGCACAAAATTCGCATGTGGCACAGGGCAGTCATTCCCAAAACTGTGTGAACAATGAGAAATAAATTCATCGTGGGGTTATAGTGTTTATTATTTACTGCATCTATACCTGACCTTTCCTGAAAGGGTAGGGGTGTCCTGTCCTGTCCCCCCCCCCCCGCAACTCCCACGTTTATCCTCAGAACCATCTGAGGTAGGTCAGGCTGATGAAAATGTGAGTGGAGCACAGCATTATGGAGTGGATCAAAAGAGACATGGGATAAAAATACGTGAGAACAAATAACTATCATTTTTTCCATCAGCACCAAGATGTGATAGTGGTTGGAATGTCAAGAGCAGGGAGAACTGGGTTCAAATCCCCACTCAGCCATGACGCAATCTCGGGACAGTCCCTGCTTCTCCACGTAACCTACCTTACAAGTTTGTCAAAACAGAATCACACACACACCACCCTGAGGTTCTTGCAGGAAGAGCAAGACACATGAGATTAATATTAATGTATTTTTTTATTTTTTAAAAAAATCCTTTCATAATAATAATAATATCAGGGACAGCTGGGCCCCAGAAATTGGCACGATAAGAGTATTTTTCAATGAACCAGGGCACCTCTTATCATGACCGATGTTACCTTGCATGAAGAAGACAAGGTAACCAACAAGAACTTTAGATTTGATAGATTGTATTTCTATGCCACTCTGTATCCAAGGGAATCCCAAAGCAGTTTACAAACAACAGCAGCAACAGAATACGATAGTTACAGCACAAATGGCTGCTCTCAGAGTTTGGAGGAGCTCCCTTCTTAGAGAAGCTAGACTGATGCCCACCTTGTACTCCTGCTGCCAGCAGGTGAAGAACTTTTTATTCTGACAGGCCTTTGGGAGCTAACTGCTTTTTAAAGGGAATAGCTTTAATAATGCTGTCTGTTTTTCTTGTTTTCATCATCTGTATTTTAGTAGATTTGGGGGGGGGGGTTGTTTTTAATTCTATCTGAGATTAATGATTGTTTTTCTGTGTTTTTAACTTTTTACCTATGTTGTCTTAATTTCCATGAGCTGCCTCGAGTCCCAGTCAGGTGAAAAGGTGGGATATAAATGAATATAATTAATAAATAACACCATTAGCAAATCATCAATAGAACAACTATAAAAGAATTACATCCCGTAAAATAATGCTAACAGAACAGCAGCTGAAAAGGAAGCTCCCTATTGTTGCATTTACCCCCTTCACACTCACACACACACCAACATAAACATTTTCCGTAATCCTTCACTCTTCTCAGTTCAATTTTTTTCAAATTCTCCTAGGCGGCGCTATGGGTGTGCAAAATTCATGCAGAGTTGCAAAGGTAAAGGAGACACCAATGGGCATTTCCCATGAAACGCCAGCTTCTCAGAATCTAACCTGTACAACGGAGCTTCTGGGTTGCAGCCAACTAAGTTTTTGCAGAGTAGGCCAATCAGAATTTACAGGCCTACATCACCCATTTCAGTGGGTCTACTCGGAGGGTAACAAGCACTCGAGACAGCCCTTAGCAAACAAGGGCGTCAATTGGAACGAAGGGAGGCAGTCTTGGGCAAGGACTTTCTGCCTGTCGGAACAAACTGGTGGAACCGTTCCAACCTCCAGGACAAAGCTTAAGCACTTATCAAAGGCCAACGAAAACACTCCCAAGCGTAGAGAAAGCTGCAGAGGACGAAAAAAGTGTTCTGAGCTGTTACACCTGCTTCTCAGGGTAACATGCCTGATACACCAATCACTCAGCAACCGGCATATTGATTTAATTCAAAGCAGGACAGCCAGGTTTTGCTTTTCACCCAGCTTTAAAAAAAAATCTGTGCTGCTTTCCAAGCAAAGGAAAACCGTCTCTCTTCTCTTGTCCAACCTGCTTCTAAGTAAATGTCTTAACATTATTCTCTTTCTTTCTTTTGTAATGAAAGAAAGAACAAATAATTATGAGACTCAAAATATATAATTCACATAAGGACTGCCAAAAAGAAGTGGGGGAAATTCAGACAGAAGTGGGAATAGGAGACAGAAAAATATAAAGAGGCAAATACTTGAGGTATGGTAAATAGCCAGTGTGGTACCCTCCAGATGTTGTTGGACTACAAGTCCCATCAAAACCCAAAGAGACAAAAACCATCCATTTTGTCAGGACACCCTGTACTGTAATTCAGTTTGTTTTGGGATATTACTGATTTTGTTAGGGGATTAAAAAACCACATACAGAGAAAAGGATTATATCCTTCCCTCTAGTTCCAACATTTGGGCAATGAGTGCTGTCACTCACATAGCAAAACAGCACTACTCATGTACAAGAGAGAGGCAGGCTTCAGAGAAGTTTGCAAAAGTTTTTTTAAAAAATGGGGGAGAACAGCCCAATGAGGGCTGAGCATGCTCAGTGTCCATGGCACTCTGACTGTGTTTGCAGAAAAATGGAAACATAGAAAGCTGCCTATACTGAGTAGGACCTTCATTCCATCCAGCTCACTATTGTCTGCCCTGACTGGTAGCAGCTCTCCAAGTTTCAGGAAGTGCCAGGAATTGAACCTGGGATGTTCTGCATGCAAAGCAGACTCTCTTCCACTGAGCTATAGCCCTTCCACCTCTTTCAAACATAGAAAATGGGAAATTAAACAGTGTGGCTAGACTCCACACTACAGCCTTTTGTTGCAGCTCCCACTTGTTTGGAAACAGCCACTAGGTAAGCTTCCAAAAAGGGTGGTATAACTCAAATGCTATTTCAAGGGAAGTGTCCTATGCACAAGAAACTGGCGTAAAGCAAACTGGTTTAAGTTCAGCTGGTGTGCTGTTACACCAGTTCCAACCTTTATTCAGCAGCAGGGACGCTGTCTTTAAAATAGTGGCCTATGCCTGGTTGCCAGGTCACATGACCAAGTTAAGGATCTTGCTTAAGCCCTACCCACCACCCACCCTGGGTCTCACTGGTACCAGACCTCCAGAACACCCCTTTTACTCTGGCCTCAGCTCAGCTTGCTTTGGCTCAGCCAGCTTGAGCCATGATGAGCATGTTATGGCAGCGTATCTTTAGCTGAGCCAGGGCTGGGGACTTAATGCCACCTGAGCCTGGAATCAGGTGTCTGAGTCAGAGATCCACTACATCCTGACCTGCTCATTCCTTTGCCAGGCTTAGGCCAGCTCAGCCAGCAGCGGTTCCATTCCTGAACGGAGTTTGGATCTGGTGTACTTTACACTGGCTTAAGCTAGGCCAACTAGTGCAAAACGATGACTCCGCCAGGCAGATGCAGTCTGAGAGTTACAGAACTGGGTACCTCTGAGCACATGTTGACGCCAAGAAGCTGAGACTGGTACCTTTGCTAATTACTACAATACTCAAACTAAAACACAGGCATCTCTGAATCTTGCGATGCAGTTCTCCAGTCAAGTAATGTGTACAAAAATGCATATATTGAGGTAAAATATGCATTAAATGTATATATGTATGAGTCAAAACAACATGCAAAATTGCATTATGTTAGGAGAAACTGTTGTACAAAGATATGGATATTAGGGGGTGAAATCACAAACATAAATGTGTATATTGGAATAAATTTGCACCAAAAAGGCTGGTAAATTTTCATGAGGACCTTTTAAATTAATAGCCACAAACTGATATAGGAATGTGGATAACTAAATTTATGATTGGACAAATGAGAAACTGACAGAAACTGAAACTAACCGAGATTTGCCCATACCTACCCTCAGTACGCGGGTGGCGCTGTGGGTAAAACCTCAGCGCCTAGGACTTGCTGATCGCATGGATGGCGGTTTGAATCCCCGCTGCGGGGTGCGCTCCCGCTGCTCGGTCCCAGCGCCTGCCAACCTAGCAGTTCGAAAGCACCCCCGGGTGCAAGTAGATAAATAGGGACCGCTTACTAGCGGGAAGGTAAACAGCGTTTCCGTGTGCAGCTCTGGCTCACCAGAGTAGCTTCGTCACGCTGGCCACGTGACCCGGAAGTGTCTGCGGACAGCGCTGGCTCCCGGCCTCTAGAGTGAGATGGAGCGCACAACCCTAGAGTCTGGCAAGACTGGCCCGTACGGGCAGGGGTACCTTTACCTTTACCCTCAGTATTAGTTCAATGGAATATGTAGCTACTTTGTCATTTGGTCATCCTGGCCGCCATTTTGTTTCCAGGCTCATTTCAATGTGGTGCTGATAAGCCGCTGTCCTCCAGATATCTTCAGCTCTGATTCACATCTTCCCTGACCTGCTGGCTGTGGTTGATGGGAGCTGGAGTCCAAGAACATCTGGACCGCATGAGATTGGGGAAGGCTATCCTAAATAGTTTGGAATTCCCAGAAGAGCCTGCTTGTCCTTACAGATCAGCTGAAGCAGCTCTTTTGAGGATCCCACCTTCCTCAGAAATACAGCTGATGGAACAAGAGAGAAAGCCTTCTCACCAGTTACACCCAAGGAAATCTGTCTGGAACTCTCTCAAATGGCTTTGTTCTTTGCTACTGATTAAAGACTTGTATATTCCAGGAGGCGTTTGTTAGTTTTGTCTGGCTGGCTGATTTCCTTAATATTGCAATAGGCACTGTCTGTCTCAAAACTATTTTCCAATTGGCTGTTTTTGACTGTTCTTTAATTTTCTTATAATGAGATTGCTTTTATACCTTATGGTTCACCACCTGAGGCATCTCTGGGTTAAAAAGTGGAGCATGCATTTACACTCAGACGCTAAGGTCTTGGGACCATGTTCTTCCACAAGTAGCACTTTCATCACAGGTGACATCAACAAGGGAGGCAACTTTTTGGATAGTTATGGCCCAGCTGCAGAACATCCTGCCCAGGAATTCTAGAACACCCCATTGCCAACTTCATAGTCCTTTATCCAACGCTAGGCAAAGACCACAGCCTCTTAAAATTAATTTTAAATACTTCAAACTCTCTGATTATTAACTGTTACTTTATCTGCATTGCTTTACGTTGTTTATGCTCACCTGACCTGGTTTCTATTTCTTTTTTTAATCTACCTTGAAATCACTGAGAGGAAGCAGTACATGGACACCAAAATGAATAAATAAAATAAAAAGCTTTTCTGTACAAAAATATTAGGGTTAGCAGCACTTAGAGATGGGGGAGAAATGTGATTCAATTCACACTTCAAGAGCAAGCTACCTAGGTTTGCATTTTTGAAACAAATAGTGAACAGAAACATTGGCAATCCTGTGAAATCCACCCTTATAATTTTGCAGTGCACAAGGGCAAAGTGTCCATGAAATGAATATAATTGTGAAAATAATATACCCAAAAAAAGCATAATGTTAGGGGAAATTGCTTTGCAAAAATGTGCATTTTAGGGAACACTGCATATTAAAAGGCATATAACGGGAGACATTCTCAGTAGGATGCTAACAAATTTTCACAAGGACTCTTGAAAAAAAGTTTTGCAACAGATGTGGAACTGTGGAGAGTGGAACTAAATTGAGGAACTAAGAAAAACAAAACTGACAGGTTCACCCATCCCTATTATTGCATGTAGGGAACCTTTGGCCCTCCAGATGTTGATGAACTACAACTCCCATCATCCATGACCATTGACCAAGCTTCCTGGAGCTGATGGGTTTTGTAGTCCAGGAACATCTAAAAGGCCGAAAGGTTTGCCACACCTGCCATATACATTCAGGAGTAAGTCCCATTTAATTCAATGGCAGTTACCTCCAAGAGATGAGTACAGGACTGCAAGGTTAATATCATGGAAGAAGAGCCCTAGCATAGACTTCCCCCAACATCTAATACTCTATGTGTAAGGAATATTTTCAGCCTGGGGAGCATTCCAATCAAACGAGCCTCCGCGTGCAGCCACACTGTCTAGACACACGCTTGGCACCCCGGGGGGGGGGGGAGCCTGGGTTTTCGCAGGGCAAACAGACCACCACTTCCCATAATGCAACTTCAGCATTTGTAGGCCTCCATACCTATCTGTAATATTCTATTTAAAAGGCTGAAATGTATATATGTGCATATGTATATAATAATACACACATATATACAGTACAGTACATACTTGTGTGTGTGTGTGTGTGCGTGTGTGTATGAACCTTCAAAAATAAAGGAAGGGAAAACCCCTCTTATTCACATCTGCGAAATTAAAACAGCACGCCAAAATGGCTAACACAAATAGATGGCAGAAGGAGATAACTGGAGGGGTTGGTCCTGGTCCAGAAGATGTGGGTTCAACTTCATAACAGCCATTAACTCCCTGGGTGGCCTTTGGAAGGAGAAGAAAAAGAAAGAAAATTACTCCCTCTTCGCCTCGGTTTCCCCATGGGTAAAATGGGAAGCTTAAGTTCAAGAGGGGTTAGCCGTGTTAGTCTGTCACAGCAAAACTTGCAAAGAGTCTTATGGCACCTAAAAGGCTAAGAAATGCAAACGCTTCGGCTGTAATAAGTCTGTCGGCCTTTAAGGTGCCACCAGACTCTTTGTTGTTTTTTTGATGGGGATATTAAATCTGTAATTAGAGAGAGTTATACTAAGTCACTGCACAGACATTTGCACACGCCAATATTTTTATTAATAACGCAAAGCATACAGATCTAGAAGTGTGTGCCTGTGCAGGGACTATGAACTCTTCCAGGATGGAAAACAAAAATATTTCAAATCTCTAGGTTTCCGAGTCAACCATATGCAGAGGAGAGGGGAAATATCACAACCTTAAGAGATTATCCAGTCTAACTGAAAGTGTGGGGGTTACTAGAGGGCTCATGAGAACCTTCTTCTTCTGCCCCCACCCCCAGTTGGGAGTGATGGAGGTATTCAGAAAGAGCCAGAAAGGTGTTGCGGTCAATGTATTTAACTAGGACCTGGGAGAGACCAGGGATCAAGTCCCAACTCACCCATGAAGCTCCCTTAGTGACCTGAAGCCAGTCACACTCTTTCCCTCACCCTAATGTCCCTTACAAAGTTGTTGTGATAATATGGAGAGGGGGAAAGTCAAGAGCCATGCACATGTGTGGACGGTGGGGGACGGGGGGGGTATGTGTGCTCAAGCTGAAGTGTGCTGAGGGGGGGCTGGAGTTCTCAGCACAGTTCCGCTCTCCTCACAGTGGAGCTGGGTCACCCTCGCCCATTTTTAGGTACTTGATAATGTTCTGCCCCTGCTTGCAAAGAAGCAGTGGAAGTATTTGGCAGGCATGAGGTGCCCCCGGTGCGAAGAGATGCATGAATTCCAAAGAAAGCCGTTCCAAACTGATCCATGCAAAGGGAAGCCAAACTTATCAAGCAGGATGTTACGGTTCCTTCTGCGCTGGCGAAACTATTTGCTAAAGCGACACACAGCAGAGTGCAGGGAAGTGGGGAGAAATCTCCAGATCGAGCTCATATTTTCCTTTAATCAAAAGGAGTCCAACAGACCCCCTAAAAAGCAGATTATATTTCAGCTCCTTCGTGTGTGTGTGTGTGTGTTTCCAAACACAGTCATCTCCTAGCAAAGCCTCCCTCGGCCTGGTCATGCAGGATCTATCAATGTGCAGATAAAGCAGAAAATAGAGACATCCTTACGAAATGAATCTGCAATTGACACAAAGCAGAGGTGACAACCACGGCAGAGGAAGCCACGGCTAAATGTTTCAATACCTTGAAAAATTATCTACAGAGGAGTGCTACGGCAAGGACAGCTCATGAAAGGCATTTACACCTGCAATGGAGCAGCACGTTCCTGGTCGGCATTTCATTCACCAAACAGAGTCCAAAGCTTGCACATTAATAAATAATAATAATAATAATAATAATAATAGCTTTATCATTTTTAGCAGAATGTAAATCACCAAGAAAAGGTTATTGCACATTAATTAATTAATAATAATAATAATAATAATAATAATAATAATAATAATAGCTTTATCATTTTTAGCAGAATGTAAATCACCAAGAAAAGGTTATTATTACACAGCAGCCACCTTACCTTCTGCCTCTGAGGCACTGACTGGAGTGGAAAGCTTCTTTAAACAGCTCTGCTGCAATTGAGCGAGAAACAAATTGGGTTACTCATTTGACTACACACACACATATGCACAGACCATACGGACATTAAATACACTAAAAACTTTGCAAGATGATATCTTACTTGCTGAGTGCAATTGTTGGGAGATTATGACAGACAGTCTTGAGAGAGGCATAGGGAAGAGAGAGATTTGAAGCACTAAAAATTAACTTGGGGACAAATAGCTGTGCCACAGACACACTGAAAACTGATCAAAGTGCACACCTGTGTGGATTCAGCATGTAAGAATGCCAAGGAATTCATTTTACAGAAAGCCAGTATGTTTCCAAAAGGCAAAACACCATGCACTCTTAAAAAAAATGTAGAATCTGATTCTTGATTCTTTAGGACAAATGAAATGTAAAAAGAAAAACCTCCTTAGGAAATATTCAAACTCACACAGAGAAATAATGTCTCCTTAGTAAGATGCCTGGGAGGTTCTAGCCGATCTACTTATTTTGACCAGAATTTAAATAGCCATTTTCATAAAGTCCTGAGCTATATGAAAGACAGCACAGAATTAAAAAAAACCCTCAATAAGCCACCCGTGATCATACATATTTAGCCAAGGAAATAAAACCGCTACTCTGGGAATTAGAGAAGCATTGGGTTTATTTTAACGTTTTGCAGTTTTCACAGATACCAAGAATTTACATTTATATCGCTAACAACAGGAATGCAACAGTTCTGCGTCACTGTTATTTTAACACAATAACTGTGCACTGATAGTTGCATATTAATTTGCAACACTAAACTTTTCACTAAGGAGAATACAGCAATATTACTTGCAACTGCCATTCACAATTTGTGTGCTAGCATTACTCTGAACCAAGAAAAGCTGGGGACCATGTTCTGGGTTTGAAGCAATTCAATTCACTTTAATATGACTAATATTGAGGAAGCAGACTGCAGATGTGCACCTATACTCTCAAGTATATAGTGTGTAGGATTGCAGGTGAAGACTGCAATCCAATACACACATACTTGAGAAGAAATCCCCTTTTCAATTCATGGGACTTTTTTGCAGGTAAGCCTCAAGTTGCAAAACCTCACATTTGATGAGGACTAACCAAAACCTTGAAGAAGTAAAATTGTAGCCATCTGGAGAATATGAGAAGAAGGAATGAGGTCCTTCAAGAAAAGACATGTAAACAGAACCTTACACAACTCAGCCTGCAGACAACTTTATCTTCTTGCTTTCATTGATCATTTTAGCATCATGGTTCAATAAACTGCTTTTCAATTTTGTTTGTTTGTTTGGTTTGGGTTTGGTTTTGTTCCCCCACCCCACTCCATCTCACTCCACAGTGACTGTGGAAATGGAGAAAGATAAGTTACTGCCTGGGGAAGTGATAAGTGGGGGCTGCCCCCACATCCTCAGGTACTTTGGGGGGGGGGCATCTTCATAAGGACACACACACACACCAGGATATATGCAAAATTAACCCCTGAAGAAGAAGTGTTAAGAAACACACAGGCACATGAGCAGTGGCGTAGCGTGGGGGGTGCAGGGGGGGCCGGCCGCACCGGGCGCAACATCTGGGGTTAGGGCAAATCCACAGGTTAGGGGGCGCAAATCCACGGGTTAGGGGGCGCAAATTACTTGCCTTGCCCCGGGTGCTGACAACCCACGCTACGCCGCTGCACATGAGTTCTCAACTCACAACTACTCCAAATGAGACTCTTTGCTCACCAGCCTACAAAACACACCCCCTTACTGTACTTGAGAACACACTTCTATTCCATTTTAATCAATCACTAAGAACTTTCAGAAACCACCAGCCACGAAAGGAAAACCCACCACGAAATATGCTCCAGGTGCCTGGGATGGTAATTAATCCGTATTAAGATACCTCTGTTATGTGCAATAGGGTTGCTCTGCTTCTCCCCCACCAACCTCGATGCACAAATTTGCTGAGCCCTTATTCTGCTGGGGAGGGGAAGGAGAGAGCAGGGAAGCCAGGGCAGAGAGAGAGAGAGAGAGAGAGACTGAACGGGTATCCCAAATACCTGAACCGGGAATCTTAGAAGAGAAAATATGACGACCTCGCTTTGAACACTGGGTTAATAATGATCTGTTTTATTTAAAACGTTGAGCACCACGGTTGCGTTCTTTCACTGCCGCCGCCCCCATGCAAAAAATAAAATAAAAAATGAATGAATGGCTTTGCAATCGTTACATCAAAAGCAAGCTAAGCCCATCCTGCAGCGTGCTGCAAAACCAGGAGGAATTTAGCAAGGAACAAAAGCTAAGGCAGGTAGAGCCATCCTACCCCAAACCTTAATCAGCGGAGAGAAGGGGGGGGGTGCATCCCGAGCCACAGCATTGCAAAGGGGGGATGCACAGCTCTGCTCCTCCCCCTAGAGGATGTCTGCCTGCCTGCCTGCCTGCCTGCCTTCCAGTCCACCCGCCCAGCCCCTGCTCACCTTTCCACTCCGGATCCCTCCTTTGCAAGCGCCAGGAAAGAACCCGAGCAGGGCGCGAGGCTGTAGCTGTCCACTGGGGCCATAGCGCCTTCGCCCAGGTTTGACTCGCGTCTCTGTAGCAACGCCGAGTGGCAGGCTCTTTCCGCCAATCGGGACGACGTGTCCGGCAGAACGCCAAAGGCCAACACCAATAAGCGGAGAGAGATAGAGAGATAGGCGGGGCTTGCTGGAAGAAAGGCGCTTGGGTAATGTAGTCCCAAACGTTACCTGTGCTCTTAGCGGAAAATGAACGCTGCTTTGGCGGGGTTTTTTCCCCCAGCCGGCTTGCTGTTTCTCTTGATTTGCCCGCCGCCAGCTCTTCTCCTCTTCACCATTTCCTTCTTCATTTCCTGATGTTTCAGTCTCGCTGCTTCTTACTACACCCCCAGGATCCCTGATGAATTGGGGTGGGGGATGTCACGGCACAATAACCCAGTTTAAAAATCGGTTTCGCCTCTGCTGCGGCGCTTATCAAAACCCAGATTCCCAAGGCGGAGGAAAAGCACCGCAGACCACAGGAGTTTGCAGTGCACTAAGGCTATACAATCCAGGGACGGAGTAATTTGCCCACCCAGGTATTGCTAGACTACAACTCCCGTCTTCCCTGATCATTGGCCATACTGGAGGGGGGCTGGTGGGTGTTGGAGTCCAGCTACATCTGGAGGGTCAGAGGTGCCCCGTTGCGCTCAATGGGGTTTGCATTTGTGGAGACTACGTGTCTGGGATTTACACTGTGCATAAAACCGAACTGACGGTTGCACTCAATTCTCATTGGGGAAGGAGGCAGCAAAAATAGAGAGAGAGATATGAGGGCAGTATAAATCTTCCTTCTTTCGGCCAATTGTTTAACACAATTCTTGTGGGTAGAGTATCCCAGCCAGGTTCCTCCCAAGCCCGATTTATCTGCTAATATCTCAAGCAGTGGGAATGATCGAAACTTTGCAGGTGGTCTGGCTGAAAAATAAATAGAACTCCGAATTTGACAGTTATGTACTCTCTGAGAGGAAAACTGAAAACATACAAAACCCACGAAAAGCTGCCTTATACCAGGAATATTGGTCCATCCAACCTAGAATTGTCGACACTGACTGGCAGCGACTCTTGAGAATTCCAAGCAAAGATTTTCTCCCAGCCCTGCTTAGAGAGGTCGGGAACCGAATCTGGGACCTTTTGCATATAAAGCATACCGCCCCTGCCCCAATGAAATGCTTTATAGTGTGTGTGTGTGGGGGACTTTTTACAAACACACACATACAAAACGCCACCAGCATAGTGCAGTTTTTAAAGGTACACAAGAACCCTGTGCGATCCGGTGGCTGAAGCACAGAATCTAGCCCCCATCTTCCATTTCCTGGAAGGGCTTCAGGGAATCTCCAAAGAGGTGAGTCACGTGAGGAATAAAGTAAAATACAAAGCATAACCTACACACCTGTTTACTCAGGAGTATGTCCCACCGTGTCCAATAGGATTTGCTCCCATGGAACGTGTGAGCAAGCTTAGCAGCCGGAAATTTACTTCCGTAGGCTTGAATTGCCGCCCTATATGAGCTTACACGGTTTCCATTGAATTTAACGTCGCTTACTCCCGAGTAGACTAGCTATTCTACATCGTGGCTATAAATAAAATGAACGAGTCCCACCCTTCTCTGGAGGATTTTCGTGTGTCCCCTAGAAATCCTCTTTCCAATTATAAGAAAATAAAGGAAAGGAAATTTTAGCACGAATTTATATTGAAGACCGTCTAATTACGGCGTAATCATACAACATATAAACACACACCAAAAGACGCGGCGCTCTTTTATTATATGATTGCTCTTATTGTTATTTAAAGCAGGCGTTTCCTCCAGTCAAGAATTCACCCTTCAAACGCATAAAAAGAATTAGCAGCAGCGATCAGAGAGAGAAATCGATAAATATGCAGGGGGAGAAACCCCAGGAGACTTGCTTGCTCTGAATCCGGATTTGCATGACAGGATCTTCCCCCGCTCCCCGCCTCCTTCCTCGTCCCCCTCCCTTTGTCCCGAAGAGTTAACAACTACAAGTCAAGGCACTGAGAGAAAGAAGTCCACCACCTCTTTCTCCGAGAGATTTCAACAGAATGGATTGGGGGGGGATCCTCCCGCCCCCTGAAGTTTTGGCATTGCTTTGTCTTCCACGGCAAAACAACATGTGCAGATAACTCGGTGCCAGAGAAGTCAATGGTTGGAAGACATTCGGCTCAACTGGGTTGCGGGTTGCCCCCTCATGGGCATAATTTGACCATTACATGCAGGCAGTGGAGGGGCGGGGGGTGGAAATGAGGTGAGGAGAGGTGGGGGAGTAGATGGGGGTGCAAGAAAAGCGCAGCGTGGTAATCCTGGAGAGACCCCATTGAATTTAACAGGACTTACTCCGGAGTAAGACACGCTTAGGGCCTTGCTTGCAACGGGTGCGCGCACCTGTAGATTATTCCTGGGGAGCAGCACCTCAAACCTACGCACGTTTGCCTGAAAGCAAGCCTCATTTTGCTCCATGGGTCTTGGGTCCCAAGAGCATGGGCTTGCAGCCTGGGAGTCGCCCTCCTTTCCTCTCCGTATTTACACAGTTAAAATAAAATAAAAATCACTGATTTGTGGACTGCATAGCAACTCTTTCCCGGGTGAGTTTAAATAATCAGCAAGCTTATTAACTTACACTTCTTTCTTTTTCTTTTCTAAAAACCCTCCCGAAAAGACACATACAGTACTTGAGAAGAAGATGGTTTTGGCAGATTTCAATGGAACTTGCTCGGGGGGTCAGAAATTTAGAACATTCCTAGATCCTTCAGTTTCAGAAGGAAAGACCCGGTTAGTTGACAGATGGGTACCCACTGTTCAGAGCCAGTCTGGATAAATTTGCTCTTTTCAGCTAAGCCGCCTCCCCGACCCGCTCCAATCTATCCCCCCTCAGGGTTTTTCCATTTTTTTCCTTTAAACCCAATGTCTCCCGCGTCTCCAGTGTGTAAAAGAAGCAAGCAAGCTACAAGAGGCGCCGAATTCAGCCTTACGCTTCTCCGCTGCTTTTACCAAAGTTCTCCCCGCTTCGGAGTTTTCAAGACCAAAAGCGGAGGGCGATCATCGCTCCTCTGGCGGCGGCGGCGGCGGCGGCGGCTGCTGCCGTGGCTTTGAAACCGACACTCTGCTTGTGTATTTCATCTAAGTAAGTGGCTGAAAGAGCGGCCGCAATCTGGCAAGAACGACCTCCGCGGAAAGGAGGACACACGCAATGGGCACCAGACCAGAGCTATAGGAAAGAAACCCCATTCCAGACCCAGACCCCTGTGCACCCTTAACAATAAATAAATCAGCAAGCCGGGCAGGAATTTCGCCAAGAGGGGGGCTGAGATTATGTGCTGTATGGATAGATGCAGGCATGCTAACGTGTTTGTATTGTGACTGGCTCTCTGTGTGTGTCATTGTCTGTGGATCCCGAGAGGAAACTTCGAAAGCTCATCAGCCGGCGTCGAGATGGATACAGAGTGCATTTGAAAGACAGAAACACCCACAAGGTGATGCGGAGGCACCTCACACAAGCGAAGCCCCATCTCCGCCTCCCCCCCCCCCGCCAAAAAAGAGGTGGAGAGAGGGTATCTTCCTACAAGCGAAAGTATCTTCCTGCTGGCCTATATATCTGCTGGAATCAAAGGCGATTACATCCTACGATCGCTGTGGATTTCCCCCTGGCCCATATGGTTTTAATCTGCTTTCTCTTCTATCCTTTTATGAGTTTTAAATGGGGCGTGTAGTAAAGATACCTGGCTTATTCTTTTAGATGTTCTGCACAAACCTCTTTCAGCAGGCAGGTCTCTCCCATCATACCCCACCCCACTTTTCTCCTTATCAACCCCACCCCCGCACGCATTTTTCTCCATCCCAAGGAGGCTGATGGCTGGAGGTAAGAAATTGCCCCTATTATCACAACAGTTTTAAAACGCCCACCTTGGATTCTTTGTGCGTATTAAATAAACATACACATACACATCTCCCCTGCATCTGAGGGGGCGTTTGCCCTGTGCCCTTTGGTTCCGCATGTAACAACAGGTATGCTACAATTCCACCAAATAACAGCCCGCTAAGGTGACCAGGGAGGGGATGGAGCGACGCGACGTCGATCCCCTGGTTTGGGCACCTTTGAGTTGTTCCATTGGCCTTCATCGACCTTTACGCACGAGCTCGCGGCTGTGCGTTCGCTGCCTATACTTCTCTTATTAATGTCGAGCGGAACGAATCCGTGATACTACCGTGATACCACAGTAAACCAGTTGGGACACACAGGGAGAGTGCGGTATTCCTCACAGCAACCCGGCGAGGTAGGTTGGGAGAAAAGACTAGGACATGTCCTTCCGCCACCCCACTCCCCCGAAAAGAAATATTTAGTTGAGTTTTCATCCCGCCTCCCGTCCCCAGTCCAGTCCAAAAGCCTGCTCCCAAACTCGACTTCGGGCTGCCAAAACGCAAAACTAATTGGCAAAATATGGCTCGCTCGTGTATGTCGCCGCGATCCCCAAAGCGCGTGAGCTGGCCTGCCAGTCCGCGCGCCTCCAGGCGTTTGGCGCCGCCCTGAGCCAAGCAGGCCGAACGGTGCGATCCGCGCGGCACCCACGCAGGCTTCCCAACCCCCAGCCATCCCCAAAACGTTTCAAGCTCCAGCACGCTGCTTTAAGCAGGCTGCGGAGGACTCGTTAAGCCCCCTCGCTAAGTGTCAAGCGGCTGGCCCAATCCGTTTAACCCGCAGTTGCTGCTGTCGAAAGGGGAGGGGGTGGTGCTGAGTGAGCGGTAGGAGGAGAAGAAATCCACAGCTGGATTCCTCGTGAGTAAAGGGCCATGTGGCTCACCAACATCCAGTAGTAATATGTGCTACAACAACAACAATAATAAGAGCGACAAGAGAAGCACGATCGCGAAGCAACTGTGTGGAACAGAAGTTATCTTCTTGCATCTCTTCTCTGCAGATAGTTTAAGAAACAAAAACAAAACCCTCACATTAACTGCTCTTTTTTCAAATGTTTACTCGGGAAGCATCGATTCATGATTTTATTTCCCCCGTGTGTGTGTGTTTTAATGGCTACTAAATCTTGTTATGAAATCTATTTCATCAACTGAGTGCCTTTTGCATTCCAGCGCAGGGAGCCAGAGAGAGAGAGCGAGAGCTAGAGAGAGAGAGAGAGCGCAAAAGCTCCTCGCTATAAATCAAAAGAGAAATTGCGCTGATGGTGTATTTAGCAAATGAAGAAAGTTGGAGGTGATCTTCGCTAAACAGCTTGGCTGTTGATTGCCAACCAGAGGCCGGCGCAGTTGAGCTTGAGAGAGGGAGAGGGAGAGGGAGAGAGAGAGGGGCTGGGAAAAAGAGAGGTTTTCTGGCTGGTTGGCTTTGGTTGTGGCAAGCCCAGCAGGAGCCAACCTCCTCCTCCTCTCTCTCTCTCGTTTCCCTCCCCCTCTTCTTTTCTCTCTCCCCCCCCCCTCCACTTTTTTCCCCTTTTTGCTTTGCCAACACCCGCGGAAGGTGGAGCTTCGGCCGCGCTGCGTCGCAGGCGTCAGAATCCTCGATTTCCAACTTCGCGTCTTGGCCGGACCTTTTGGCGGAGCGCGCAAAGGAAAGTGGGGTGGGAGAGAGAGAGGGAGAGAGAGAAAGCGCCCTTCTCCGTCCAAAGGAGGGAGGCAGAGAGATAAGGCGAAGGAGTAGGAGAAGAGGGGGAGGAGGAAGAGGAGGGGAGCAAAGAAGAAGGGAGCCATTCGCCGGAGTGCGTCCAAGCTCAGCTCGGCTGCACTGGAGAGGCGGCGAAGGAGGGCGCGCGCGTCGAGCCCGCTAGCCCCGGCTTGCAGAAGCACCCTCCGAGGCAGACCTCGACGACGCTCGCCGTAGAGAGAAACGCACAGGGCGCCCGGGAGAGAGGGAGGCAGGGAGGGAGGACGGACGCAGTTCCTGGCGACGGCGGTGGTGGCTGTGCGCTCGCTGCCTGGCGGGTATATGCCTGCCTCTGGCCATGTCGTATCCTCAGGGTTATTTGTACCAGCCGTCGGCTTCCTTGGCGCTCTACTCCTGCCCGGCGTACAGCACCAGCGTGATCTCCGGCCCCAGGACGGATGAGCTGGGCAGATCGTCGTCCGGCTCGGCTTTCTCTCCTTACGCCGGCTCCACCGCCTTCAGCGCGCCCTCGCCGGGTTACAACTCACACCTCCAGTACGGCGCTGATCCGGCGGCCGCGGCCGCAGCCGCTTTCTCCTCTTACGTGGTAAGGGAAGCGCTCGGGTCGCCCTCCTCCTCCTCCTCCACGCCGGCCGCTTGTGGGAAAAGGAGGAGACCGAGAGAGAGGGATGGAACCAGAGCTCAGGGACGAAGACTTGGCGGGGCGGGTGTTATTGGGGAGTTGTGGAGATAACCCGGGGGGCTGGAGCTTGGAGGGTTTGCAGGCTGTAACCATAGACGAAAGCGGCAGGTAAAGTGGGGAAAGATGAAGTGCAGAGGGAGGGGTGCAGGAAAGAAAAGCTGTCCGTGGATTTTGGCACCTTCCATGGCCGCAGCTCCTCAGTGGATGGTTAGCCTACCGCATTTTCTTAAAAAGAAATCGGTTGCAGGAGGAAGGATTCCTGCGCGGAGATCAATGGGACATTTCTCTCGCAAGGAAGCCTGCAGCCGGCCAGCGTCTTTCTCCTCGCTGGTTTAACTCTGGACTATCAGCACCCCCTGCCCCCCCCCCCAAATACAGAGTTGAACGGGAGCTGCAGCGCGATCTGGTTTTATTCCATAGTAAACTCCACTTTTGCTCCCAAGGAAGCCGGGCAGCGCCACGATCCTCGGCAGCTGTTTTACGCGCGAGTAAAAGCACGCCAGGTCGCCACGCAGCAGCAGAGCACGGCGATCCTAAGCGTGTTTGCTCGGAAGTCAACCCCGCAAAGTGACTCCGGGTCAGTGTGTGATTAGGGACGCAGCTTTGATCTTGAAGGGGCTAAGAAGAGCGAGGCTTTCCGTCTGTGCCTTTTCATTTTAATTTAGAAAAGCGTATGAGAGTTAGAGTCTCAGTGAAGGTGCGTGTCTATACATACACATACACTCTCCAGTACGATTTTCAGATGTTTTAATTCATGTCAAATCCGACAGTTTAGATGCCCAAAATAAAAGCTGGATAAGGGGGTGACCCTTCTGCCCCTTGCCATTTCCTTGCCGTCTTAATCGGGCTCCCCAAATATTGCAGAGCTATAATTCCCATCTCATGAAGCCGAATGGCAGTCTGATGATGATGAAGATGATGATTAGAGTAGGTACAAAAAGATTTTTTTGAAGTTTCATTATCTTTTTTTTAAATGTACCTACCCCTTCCACAATAATCTCAGGCAGTCTGGAAACATCTGTCCAGAAGTTATGTAAAAGAAACGCTTTCAGTAGCTCAATAAATCTACAAAGAGAAAGCGAATAAAGTGGTTATTCCCCCCTGAAACTAAACAAAGCCAAAACTAAAGGGCTTCCTCTTCCATGCTTGAACTACTTCTTCTAGTTACATTTCCAATCTAAATAACGCAGCTTCTTAAAAAAGAATGCGAGTTAGGCCTCTTGGAAACACTTGGACTGGAATAGAGTTGAATCCGAATATTTCGGTTTAAGGCTTATTGTCGGGAAAATTCCCCCTCGGGAGTGGGGGGTGGGTCATGGAGGCAGAGCTTGCTATCTGTCTAGACACTGTCATGCTTCCAAGTGAAAGGGGGGGGGAGGGTGTGTGTGGGTTTGTGTAAAAGGTTGCGTTCAATTAGAAGGGGAGGAGGCTGAGGTGTAATTTGTTACTGTTTATAGCTTGGTAATTTGGCAGAGATGGAAGTGGGTGGGTGAGATACACTTTCTGGTCGCATTCAGACACCGGTGGGCAACTCGTGTTTAGCTTAGGAAAGACTTATTTTGACTCCCACCCCCAGGTATGGTGACACTCCAACTTTTAGGCCGAGTCTGTTATGGAGATGGGGGTACAACCACGTATTGTGGAGAGGACCCTTTCAAACGGGAGGGAGATGGTTTGATTTCTCAGAGATATGGATTTCAAGAATGATTATTAGGAGGTCTCCTTCTCACCTCAGGCGACGCTTCTGCCTCTCCTTCTCCTTCCTCCAGGGCTCGCCCTACGACCACACCCCCGGCATGGCCGGCTCTTTGGGGTACCACCCTTACGCGGCTCCCTTGGGATCCTACCCCTACGGCGACCCGGCCTACCGGAAAAACGCCACCCGAGACGCCACGGCCACCCTCAAGGCCTGGCTGAACGAGCACCGGAAAAACCCTTACCCCACCAAAGGCGAGAAGATCATGCTGGCCATCATCACCAAGATGACCCTCACGCAGGTCTCCACCTGGTTCGCCAACGCCCGGCGGCGCCTCAAAAAGGAGAATAAAATGACCTGGACTCCCCGGAACCGGAGCGAAGACGAGGAGGAAGAGGAGAACATCGACTTGGAGAAGAACGACGAGGAGGAGCCACAGAAGCTGGAGGAGAAGGGCGATCTGGAGGCGATCGAGATAGGTAAGCGGCCGATGGAGATGAGAGGAGACGGATTTGGGGAGGTGAACTGGGTTGTACGCTTTTTGGCAAGGGGATCGGTCTGGGGCGAGGGAGGAGCAGGGGATCGCTAGACTTAATGGGGCTGAAACGGCCATTCAGGGGAAATAGAAACTGTCTGGATTAGTCCCCAGAAAACCTTGGTTCCAGAGTAGTTTATAAGGCGCGTTTTGGGAAGGTGTTTTCCCCCCCCCTTCCTGGGACTCGACGGGGTGGGTGGGAAGGCCGAGGATCGGGCTCCAGAGAGGCCTCAAGGACTGTGTGTCGCCCTCCCTCTGCCCTTGTCCTCAGGTGCTGGAGACCCGAAGGGAGGCGCGGCAGGCAAAGAAGCCGACGGCGCGTTGAGCGACTCGGATTGTAAAGAAGCCCCCGACGAGGCGCTGTCTAAAGGAGGCCCCGGGGCCTCGCCGCCTTTGGCCCATTGTCTGCCGGCGGCAGCGGCTGCTGCTGCAGCGGGCCGCCTCCTTCTCCAAGCGCATCAGCAGCTGCACCCGGCCGGAGGAGAGGACCCGCAGCCGGCCCACCCGCTGCCCGCCCAGTACAGACCCCCTTCGACGGACCTGCACCCCCTCCTGCCTTCCAGCAACGGGACGTCGGTGATCCACTCGCCCCAGGCGGCTCCCCAGGCAGCAGCGGCGGCGGGAGCCGGGGCCCTTTCCAAGCCTAAACTGTGGTCTTTGGCGGAGATCGCCACCTCAGCGGACAAATCGAAGGAGGGCAGCGGCGAGGCGGCCCCGCAGGCTCCGAGTTTAGCCGGAGCCGGCTCCGCGCAATCCCCGACGGCGCGGTCGCCTTCCTCCACGCACTGCCCTTTCCCCAATGGCGCCTCGGTCCTCTCGCGGCCCCTCTATTACACCACCAGCCCCTTTTACCCGGGTTACACGAACTACAGCTCTTTCGGACACCTCTCCGGCAACGCGGCGACGGCGGGGAACCCCAGCCCCCATTTTAACGGATTAAACCAGACTATTTTGAACAGAGCGGAAGCCTTGGCTAAAGAAACTAAAATCCTCAGAAGCCAGTCCCAGTTTGATCTTAGTAAAGACTCGCCTTACGAACTGAAGAAAGGTATGTCGCATATTTAATCTTGAGTTTCTTCCCAGATTAAACCCTCTTCGTCATCCACGACCGGACTTTCCCCTCTCGCTTGATTTGTCTTTTCTTTTTAATTTTTTATGTTGTCTATTTCTTTCTGCTTTTTTATTGTTGTTGGTTTTAATTTATTTACAACCAATTCAGACTTGATTTTGGCAGAGGTTGCTTTTTTAATTAAAAAAGGAGAGAACTAAGTGCGGAAGGAGGAAAGCAAGAAAACGAGGGGGGGGGAGAGAAACCCAGACCAGTCCAATTTCCAAAATCAGTGGTATAATTTATTTGAGAAAGCAGAAAATAAGCAGCTCTTGGGAGGAGAAATAATAAAAATAATAATGTCTTAAGGTAAAAAGTGCAGGAAGTGCGGGAAGAGGGAAAAAATACCCACATGGGGAGGGCGGGGGAAGGCAGAAACAATTTGTATGAAATGTTATTCTGTATATTTAATGTAGCTTTTTTGTATTTAAATCGGTAACACTATCTTTGAAGTAAATTATGAAATCCAACCGCCTGTACAGCCATCAATGTTGGTTTTTTTGGTAATATAAAATATAAATATATATATATAAATATATATATACATTTCTGTGTCTTTTCCCAAATTGTTTCATAGTTTTAAAATCTATCTATATATATATATACAAGTTTAAATTAAATTTTTATGCCTATTGAATTACGATTAGTAGTATTATATTATTACTCAATGCGAAGAACTTTTTTTCAAAAAAATTAGGGGAAGCGGGAGAAGCCGGTCAACCCACGGGATTAAGTATAAAAATGCAGATGCCCCTTTGTCAAATGTCGGTATTTAATCAAAGCACAGAGGTGTTTAAAAAAATACAAATTATTTTATTTATTCATTTTGATGGCAAAGTGGAGCCGACAGAAGGAAATGTGGGTTGGGGCGGAGACCCATAACAAAAGACATATTTAGAGTACATTCCTTCCACCACCACTCTTAAAAGGGGAAAGAGGGGAGGGGAAGCGGAAATCTGCACTCTAAGAATTTAACTGAAAGTAACTTTTCCAAGTGAGGGACGGATGTTTCCTGAACGCAGGCGATTTGGGCAAAGCCTCTACATTTGGCATAAGTTCCACCTGATGGATTTGGTGACAGGTGGGACCGGGAAGAAAGGCGAAAGTATACAGGGGTGAGCGGGGGAGGGAGGATGCAGTGAAATATGTACAGGTGATTGACTTGTGAAAGGAAGCGCCGGTGACGTTCCGGATCTAATGAGGGCCTGTCAGGGGAGTTAATTCAGTTTGAAAATCTGTGGGTCTGATCCCCGCGTAGGATGAGTGGCCTTCTAATTCTGCCTCGTTAAGCGCGCAGAAGGTCCCAGGGTCCGGTCTCTTTGCATCATCTTTTTTTTTTAAGGGTTTCGGGCAGAAAAGCTGGGAAAGATCTCTGCCAGAGAGACCTTGGACTCTCCCTGAGCTAGCTGAGACCCATGAACTGATTCAGCAAAAGCAGCAAACCCGCCCCCCCCCCAAAACCCCCGCAGCCGAATATGCCAGCTTGCTGTCTTAAGGCTCCCCCGCGGTTTCCCTTGCACCACCGCCCCCCTTGGGACCCAGTCCCGTGGATGCTAGCGGGCGACTCTGAACGTCTATCGCTTGTAGCTTGCTTCTTGTCGAGCGGGGTGGATGGATGGATGGATGGATACAGGAGGAGAGGATGGAGATTTCCTGTGGAAGTGCACTCAAAAGCGCAGGATGGCAACAGCGGACCGTCTCTTAACCTAATTACTTTTAATCAGTGTCGGGCTTTATGCAAAGCAGTCAGCTCGTGAACTTTGCTAATGAGTTCGATTTTATGCCAGATTTATCCCTTATTACTATTTCAAAGGTCTGCAGAGTTTTTACGGAGAGGGATAGGGGGAATACATATTAAAAGAGAATACACTGGGGAAACAGATGGATAAATAGCTCTGTTTGTGCATATACTGTGTGCTGCCTGTGTGTGTATACGGACAGACATTTCAGTTGTGCGTGTATAATACACACACACAGACGGAGAGAGGAAATATTTCCCTGCATTGCTAGCCTCAAGTTTAGCATTAAAATTATTCCCCCTATTGGCGGCTCCATTCTGCAAAAGCACTTGATGGTTTGGCGGGGTGTGCGTGCTGCCTGTACGGAGATTAGCACATACAAATGGAAGGTTGAGGAGGGTCGCCTTTGGATTGCTTCCCAAATTCACAGGTAGGTGTCACACTTGTACCGAATTTCAAACATAGCGCTCATCTTTTGAAAGTTGGGCGAGTTTAAAGAGGGAGCGACAAGAAGCGCTTAAAAAAAAAATATCTAGCACATCCACGGGAAACTTGAGTGGGGTGAAAGGAAGGCTCCGAAGAAAGATGGATTTCCGATTTGCTAAATCATTTGGAGCTCAGGAAACTTAACCACCTAGGGTCGCGATTTGATGTGAGGGTCTCACTCCTACACATACTGCCGGTTCTTTGGGGGACTCAGATTTATTTCTAGGTCTCCAGGGTTATGGGCTTTTAAATAGAGGAGAAAGGAAAATTAAAAGTATTCCCCCCCCCCGCAATATCTCTTCCATTAATGGGAAAGGGGCATTGAATATTTAGGAAAACACTGCCCTTAAAATATAAAAAGAATTAAAAACAAAAGAAAACCCACAACTCAGAAGTAAAATAAGATAGCTTTCTTTTTCTATTTTTCACCTCTGCTTGGAAATTGATTGGCATCCCAGCCTCGAACCCACGTTATCGAAGGGAAATTAAGTTGATTCTTACCCGCTTGCCTTGATTGTTTCCTTAACACAGGGAGCCTAAAAATATTTTCTCGGGAATAAACGCCATTGATTTGAACGAGATGGCAATGAATTTTCGTGGATTTTAGAAAGGCGACAACTTGTATTCGTTTGCTTAATCTTTCAACTCGGAGTTCACTTCCAGCATTTAAAAATTATTAAATATCTTCCTGCAAAAAGAGAGAGAGAATACCCCCCCCCAATTACTTTGGATTTTCTACGGATGTCAGTTCCTAGCCACTTATCCGTGACTTTCGTCACTGCCTCGGAAAACAGGAAAAATTGTCTCCCTATATTTGTATAAATCTTTTGCGAGCTTTTCGGAACTTCGACTGGACCCGCATAATTAATTAGCCGCTAATTGGTTTAGCTACATACAGTTAAACGATTTGCGGGTGGGGGTAATCTTTTTCCTTTCACCCTCAAAGCGACCGAGATGTGATTTGATTTCCCCCAAGAAACCACGGGGTATATACAAATACTCTCTTAGCCTGGCCGATAAATCTAAATAAAGAAGTCAAAGCTGTTTAAACGTGTAAACAATCACATATTAGGGCCATAAGAATACTGTAAATAATGATTTCAAAGAAAGCACCGATTCAATACCCAGGTCAAATCGTTCATCTGAACTGTGATGCGGGGAGGGGGAGTGATGGCGGGGAGGGAGGGAACTCTCCACAAATCAACCTGTTGCACTGACTTCCATCATTTAAGGGAAAAGAAAGTTGCGAATGATTCGTTGACCTTAGTTGAGTTCAGGGGAAACTGTTGTCCTATTAGAAATGGCCATCCGATCTTTCAATTCCGAAAGGCGCCTTTTAAATATAAATATAATGTTTAGCTTCCCGACATTCTAAAATAAAATAAAGAAGGTCGTGTTATACTTGGTATGGTTTTTTTTTAAAAAATAATTACGACCATTTTCAGCACGCACGTATATGAAAGCCTCGAGACTGTTGCTGATGTTATTTATAATTTTAATAACCACGATTCTTTCAGTCTTTGAATTGGGGGGGGACACACACCACACAAACTCAGAATATAAGGTTAGTAACTTAAACATAAATATTGTCAACCTTGGTTCCTTCTATATAATAATGATCATATTGAATAGGCGCGCCAACAGTCTCCATAAGGTTTTCTTTTGATGTATTAAATTCCTAAGGGAATTAATCAATTTCCTTTAAGATACAACTAACCGGCCTGCTGTCCTTCTTGATTCTAGTTAAGGCTGAACTAGGATTATGAATAGATAATAAATCCAATAAAAATTAAGTGTACTCTCATCTCCAGGTGAAATTTTAAATACATGTGTAACTAACATGCATTTGCCTGGTATACCCTTAGCAAAACATGTCTTCGGGTTGTTGTTGTTTTTATACAGTAGCAGCAAAAATAATGTTATGGTAATTAGCGTTTACAATGACATCCGAAACAAATTTACATTTTTATTTTAAACGGGGTGATTTTTGTTTTTATGTCTAAAGATCTAAAAACATCTGGAGCTTAGAGTTGTGTCCAATGTTTGTTCTACTCAGAGTAGACGCACTGAAATTCATGGACAAGAGAAACTTAAGTCCATTAATATGAACGTGTCTCCTCTAAGTAAAACTTGGCTGGGTGCTATTTCCCACCAACTGTATTTTCGGGAGGAAGTTACATACAAAACAGTCATTTCATCCCAAATAGTGTTTATGTATGCTGTTTTTTTTGGGGGGGAGGAGGCAAAACAATTTTCCTGAGCATCCAAAAAATCCAAAATGGGACACCACGTGAATCTGGTAGGAGGCTGATGTGCCCTGGTGCTAAATAGACTCCCCCCCCCAAACACACACCAATGCTTGAAAAGAAGATCTATGCGTTCCAGTGGAATTTCCTTCGTATTAGAAGTAATCAGGCGTATTAGATATCGAAAGGAAAGTCATTCCCATTGATTTCAGTTAAATTTACTTCGGAATCGCAGCGTGCAAAGTACCTGGAGTCAAACCAGTTTCGATCCACTTGCGTTAGTGAAAGGAACCGCTTTTCGTCGTCTAAATATAACAAGTGGTCTCTGCATGGCTTTAGAAGCAAAACATAAGGCGGTTCATAATGGGTAGGTGTGCGCTAGCCAACTCACCCCCTGTGAAGTTTATGGATGTGGGGTGGTGGGAGAACAAGGCTTGTCAGTTTCAGTCCAGGGTTCCAGCTTTCTGAGACGTTTCGAACGTTCGGTGGGGAAGAGAGAAAACTCGTGTAAAGGTGTAACGTGTGGATCTCTGACTAATTTATTAAACCTTCAGCGAGTGTGAATCCATCCTGGGTTGGGGGGGGGGGCTTGGGGGGGCAGCCGGGCAGCTATCTTCCTCATTCACACAAAGGGAGAAAACAGCTGGACTTGAAAACAAAGTTTGAGCTAATAGAAGTATTCTCGCAAATGGGGGGGGGGCAAATCCGAATTAATGGCTGGGACTTGGAATCCAGTATTTTGAAAGCAGGGTGGTAATGGAAGTGTGTGTGGAGGGGGATGGAAAAGGTACTGGCCAGGGAGACAAGTGGCGTCGAAATCCGTGAATTTAGATAGGGCAACAGGCTGGGGGCGCCCAAATGCGTCAATGCCACAAAGTAGACTGACTTCCAGGTCATAACATTTCTGAAGCCCTCGGTGTGGCGTTAAGCTACGTTCCCCATCCGAAGGGAATCGTGCAGAGGACCATGAGGCTTTCAAGCAAACCTGCTTCGGATTAAGTAAGCATGCAAACGCGTTCCTGGAAAAAAAGCCTTCACTGCTTTCGGAGTCCCTTCGCGTAGGATCACAATCCTGATGCCCGCTTAAGAGTGCGAGACTTCTTCCTCTGCAAGCACACATGCCCTGGATAGCGTTTGAAAGGCTCCGAGTTGACGCTCGTTTGGAGATCGAGGGTTCCTTCTAAATCTCAGGGCTGTGCATGTTGCAGGTTTAGATAGGGTCTGCGAGGACTGATTGGCCTCGTGTTCCAGCGAGATCTCTGTTCTGCAAATCGAAAACCGCGACGCGCAGATCAAACCGCAGCGAGGTGAGGTCAACCTTCCCCTCCGTCCACGCACACAAACGCCTGCAAACCGTTTGCCAGCGCCCCGGAATGGTCTGGGGGAAAGTAGTTTCTCTGATTTTTATTTTTTTTTTAAATGAAAACATAATGAAGCAGTAATTTCAAACCCGGAATCTTTCTGTCTCTGATCCCTCTCCAAATATTGCTTCATTCCTCCACGCTGCAGACTTATAACTTTTAGATCTCACTTTCAGGGGGTGGGGAGAAGACAAGGCAACCCCGCTTCCCTGGCCTTAACCTTCTAAAAACAGAAAAAGAAAATCCCTCTTAGGTTACGGCTGGAGTAAACAGCACTTCAGAGAGCAGTCATCAGAGGCTGTTCCAAACTCGGTGGTAATTAACTAATGATCGGCTCGTTTGGGTTTCAGACGCATGTCGATTAAAAGCCGATTATTCACCCCTCCTTTCCCTTTCAGGGGCGCAGCTTTACCTGCAAATCAAAGTGATGGGAGCCGGGAAGTCTTCCTGAGGTACAAGTCCCAGAAAGTTCGCACTCCACTTTTGCCTGAGTTTGGAAGCGCTTGCTAGCAAGTGGGTTGCATATAAATCGAAGTCAAAGGCACTCCGTTTACAAGTCGGGTTTCCTGTTTGGAGCGCAGGGCTTCCAGGGACCTGTAAACTGAGTGCAGGCGTTTTGTCTAGCGCGAAGGTCCGGTTGATCCTCAAACCGGTTGATCTGCAAAGAGCAGTCACTGAAAGGAGCTAAACAGGCGCAGGTGGATTCTCTAGGCAGGTCGGCGTCGCCCCACCGCGTTAAGTGGGGTTTTCTCCCGAGTAAGAGCCCAAAGGATCTGTCTCAGCTGGAAAAACAACAACACGGGAAAACAATCGTTTCGAAATGTGAACATCTCTTAGGGCGGCTGAAATACCGAAATCACCTCCTTGGGGGTAACAAAGATCCATTAGGGCGTTCAGCTGCAGCCTATGCATGTTTACTCGGATATAAGTTTTGTTCGGTGGGTCTCACACTTCTGCTGAGAGGGTGGCCGCTTCACGTAATAGTTGCGGGGGAGACACGTGGGTTTGGGAGTACAATCCTCTAAATGTTTACACGGGAGTAAATCCCATTCCCTTCGACAGAGCTTATTCCTTAGTCTGCGTGTTTAGGATTGTAGTGAACGTCCAGCTGTAAGCTTAATAGGCGAAGTGTGCGTGTGTGGAGGAAAGTCCCATAAAAAGCATGGAAGTGACTAGATTCAATTCAAGTTGAGAGAGGGAGAGAAATCACCAGTGTTGCAAAAACCATTTTCCTTTTCACCTCTACTCGTTTGGGATTCCTGGCTCCTGGCTGCAATTTGACTGAGGCCTTCAAAACAGGGGTTGATCATTTCCAAAGAGAGAGCGATGAAACTCACCATCAAAAGCCTGTTTCCAAACCCCCTCTCCATCCCAGATGCGGGCTCCCCCCCCCAGCAGAAGGAAAGAACCCTTTGCATAAGCTCAGAGACATCATGCCTCCCAGGACCGAGTCAGTACTGAAAGGAAGGTTCCCACCAGAACTTGATTTCAATGTCTGCATAAACTTCCACAAATATGAGCTTGGAACGAGGGGTGGTAGACCCATGTGCCCCTTCCTCATATCCTCCCTCCTCCAATTCCCATCAGCTTCAGCCAACCGGTCCAAAGGTCAGGGATGACCGGAACTGTAGTCTAACAATATCTAGAGGGTCATACTCCCAGCAAACCAGTTTAACCGAAATATTTCTACGCGTGTCTGACCCCGTGTATGTTTGCATGGACGTGAATCGCAGATTAACGAGTGCTTCCTTCCTGAATGGGTGAAGCGGGAGGCGTATTCGGAACCGGTTTCCAAACTGTTAAAAATAAAACATAAAACAACTATTTCAAGGAAACGCGCAGAAGGCAGAGGAGCACACTACCATATGAACGCAACTGCTCTGGTTTAGGTGACCCTCTCTGGGACTCCTGAGGGGCTCGTTTAAAGAGGTGCTGCCCAAGAAGAACAGATTTACTCTATAAAGACTAACCTAACCCTCCGGATTCAAAAGGAGTGGAGGCTTAATTGGTGATGAAAAGGTAAAAATAGGAAAGTGGTTCTCTCCCCCACCTGCCGCGCCCCATCTTTTAACGGGAGGAAGAAACTTCCCCACCAAGAATAGGGCTCTATTGTCTGACATTTCCTCGGAGTTTATGATCATTTAAACCACCTGCAACGAACAGATCCGTAACAAGGAAAGCTAATCCAAAGGGATTTTTAAACTCCTCTTGATGTCAGATTCAGTTTGCGCTTTGCAAAACGCCCTTAACAATGCAATCCTATGCGTGTCTGCTGAGAAGTAAGTCCCACCAAGTTCAAATGGACCCGTGCCTAGGGAAGAGTGCCCGGGATTGCAGTCCAGACCTTCAGTCCTTTGTGTACTTTACCTTGGAGTAAACCCCATTGGACTCAGTGGGATATATTTCCGAGTAAAATGTAGATAGGATTGGGCAGTACAAACTGATTTTTTTTAGGGCCCTCGAATACTTATTATTATATAAATAAAAATAAGTAAATAACGCGATTGTTACTATTTTTTAAAGGCTGAGATCCTGTGTACACTTATTCAGGAAGATATCTCCCTTAAAGCGGTAGGAAAACCTGGACAGGACAGAGTTGCGTAAAGATGCAATTCTAGGCAGTATTCATTATTTAATAATAATAATTAATAAAATAATTCCGCAGAGTCCGTCTCCCTCCCACTCCGCATTTTATCTTCACTACAGCCCTGCAAGGTAAGTTAGAGAAGGAGACTCGAAGCAGGGTCAAGTGAGCTTCACAGGTATGAGCCGAGAATTGACCCTTACCTAAGTCCCCTTCCACACCCCAAACTTTCTTTGTCCACTTCGCCACACCCTAGTTAGGCACAAGTCCAATTGCTCTCAGTAAGACTTTTTTTACGAGTAAACACCCACAGGAACCATCTTCACAGATCTGCGGTGACAGAGAGCTCTCTCCTCCAAGCCCTTACGCTTTCAAACCTTGCCTAAACCCCTTGATTTGCTTCGAATGATCTGCGAATATAGGGAATTGGATGTTCTGACTGGAGTGGTATTATAAAAGTGGTATTATTTGGGGAAGGGGAAAGGGAGCTTGGGCATACAGACATGCGCACACGTGTCAGTGGATGAGGGTCCCTCTTTACCCCTTAAATCTTCTCCACTCAGATGCTGACTCCGGCTTGAGTTCCGAAAGGTTAACATCCGAGTTCCCACGCACACCCGGTTCCAGAGCTGGACTCGGATTTAAAATGATCACCAGAGAGCGTTCCCCGCTTTTAGTGATTGCGTATTACTGTCATTCTGGAGGCTTCCCCCGATGTTTTATTGTGACTACATTGATTCGAATTCTACTTCGCTTTACCGTGGAGTGTGTGTGGTGACGAATCTGGGATCTAGTTTTCCTTTGCGTGCAGTCCCTGAAACGCTATGGTGAAAACGAAGGGTCATTCGGGTTCGGAGGATTCGGATTGAAACCGATTTCACGCCAGTTTCTAGGCACACTTTCCCAGTGAGGATAAAGGATGCGGCTGGCTTCGAAGATCATCCGCTCTCTGGCTCCAGTGGCCTGAGGGCCGGTGGGAATATATTTTCCACTCTTGTTTAAAGGCAGTATGAATAAAAGATGGTTCCGTAGCCTCCAAATTGTTTTATTCACACGCTGCTTTCAGGGTTGAGGGGGAAACAGGGAGAGTTTGTCATGCTCTTGCAAGAAAGGGGGAAAGAGGAGAGAAATCCCTGCTCCAATAAAGAAAGTATATATTAACTTTTGTGCAACCAGCTCCCAAAACAGCTGTTTCCCCAATGCCCAAAGATATCCACAAAGACTGAGTTGGGGGGGGGGAGGATGGAGGGAGATATTCTAGGGGGCTTGGGTAACTAAACTCAAATCGGTTTCGTTTGCATTTAAATCACACGGATTGCAACGGGATTGCTTCTGAGTGAAGCTCAGGAGACTTTCTGATTCCCTCCCACGGACACCGGTTTTAATCCAGCAAGGAGCCAGGCACCATACAGGAGTTAGTGGATATTTACTTCGGTTTAGCTCCCCTGAAGTTCGATTAGACTAATCCGAACTGGTTTTGGAGGAAGACGGCTGCGGCAGGGGGAAAAACTGGGCATCTCCAAAGCAAAAAAACCCAAGAGATTTCTCGCTAATAAACTGCAAGGCTTAAGCGACAAAGGCAAAGTGGAATATTTACACCTAAGTTGGGCTGTGGTGACCTTGGTCTTGTCTGTTTCTTCCAAACAGGCAACAGGAGTGAGAGTTTGTGGACTTAGCTCTGGGAGCGACATCCTGTGGCCTTGGCCAATGTGTTGTGCTCTAACATTCATAATCTTCATGAGTGGCCTACCTCACAGGGCTGTTGTGAGGACAAGCACAATAAAGACAGCAAAGTCCTTTGCGAGGTGAACATCTTTTGAGAGTGGCAGATGCCTAGCAAATAAAGTAGGCCTATAGGCTCCAAGTGAGCTGCGGTGTAACTACTGTTCCGTTAGTAGAAACCGCGTCAAGGATTGGGTAGTCTATGCAGGAGTGAAGAAGGGCTGCCACAAATACAGATTCATGTATCTTCTCCATCCTGCAATGGTGGTCTACATTTAGCAGAGTAGAAAACTTTGGTCTCTTGCGGTCATGAGGACTAGAAACGCTGGTTTGGGGCGCGGGGAGCAGGAAGGCAGGAATAAAACGCAACGCAGCACTGCATGGATTTTATGGAAAGCCAGGATGCCCATTGGGCAGGGAAATTATTTCAACTGTTTGGTTCTAATGGCGTTTATTGATTTCTCCCAATTTAAAGAAACAGTGCGCACTCACTTCTTGCGCAGCAGCAGACAGACGTCCGTCCTGCTAGTTCCGGTCCTGTGCTGTTGGTAGCTCTTTTGGTAGCTAAAAAGGTAACGGGACCCCTGACCGTTAGGTCCAGTCGCAGACGGCTCTGGGGTTGTGGCACTCATCTCGCTTTTCTGGCCGAGGGAGCGGTGTACAGCTTCCAGGTCATGTGGCTAGCATGATGAGCCACTTCTGGCGAACCAGAGCAGTGCACAGAAACGCCTTTTACCTTCCCGCCGGAGTGGTACCTAATTATCTACTTGCACTGGTGTGCTTTCGAACTGCTAAGTGGGCAGGAGCAGGGACCTAACAACTGGAGCTCACCCCTTCACAGGGATTCGAACTGCTGACCTTCTGATGGGCAAGCCCTTGCCACCAATCATCTCTTGCCCTCTTTGGCACCTCTTATGCTCAAACACTCCTCCGACTTGGTCCTCTCCTGGGGGAAAAAGGAAGAAGCGGGGAGGTGGAATACCACATGTACTAAGGATATATAATACTCATATAATAAATTAAACTAATCAAGTTTACGGGGGAAACTTCTCTCTTCCAGACTCCAAAAAGGAGAACGATTTTTGTTCACTTATTATTATTATTATTATTAATAATCATCTTGATCACCAGAAAGCAGCGAACTCGAATAAAGTTACACACACCCTGCCCAGGAATCAACAATGTAAAAGAGCACGATCCAGCCAGCCTGGAACCCTTTTTGTAGCCTAGATCCGATGTGTGTTTACTCAGAACTAACCTAAGGATTGTAAACTAACACTTTGGAGTTTACTACTCCTACCAGGTAAGTGGGTATAGGCTTTCAGTGGGAGCCAGCAGAGATCTGAGAGAAGGGGGCGGCGGGGAACGTGCCAGGTAATCTTATGCAGGTTTATTCAGAAGTAAATCCGTCCGGGTTCAATTGGCTTGCTCCCAAGGAGGGTGCCAGTCCAATCTCGACTCCAATTGGAACAGTTTTCAGGGCCATTACTTGGCCTGAGAGATCCTAAAGGAGGAACCGATAGATAGATAGATATAGATATAGATATAGATATAGATATAGATATAGATATAGATATAGATATAGATATAGATATAGATATAGATATAGATATAGATATAGAGATAGAGATATAGCTATATAGATATAGCTATATAGATAGATTAGATACATAGATGATAGATAGATAGATGATAGATAGATAGACAGACCTGGTGAGGAGAATTAAGGAGAGCATTAGCTGCTTGGAGTTGAGCGGACCCCGAAATCTGTTTCATCCGCTGAACCGGCCTGGGCTCATTGATTGGAAGGTGCTGAAATTAAAAGCGTCCACTTTGAACCCGATCCACAGACAACTCGACTAATCCAAAGCCCAGGTATTTGGACTCAAACTGGATTCCCCACTCGCCACTTCCCAGAGAATCCCGGGAACATTGTAGTTTCTCAGAGAGTAGATAGGCGACTCTTAGCAGACCACAGTTCCCAAGATTCTTTGTGGGGGCAGCATGTCTCTTAAAGTGGTATATAATTATTCTCTGAGTGTATGGTGTGGATGTGACATACTAATACAAAACGTCTTCTAGACCAGGCTTCCTCAACCTCGGCCCACCAGATGTTTTGAGACTACAATTCCCAGCATCCCTGACCACTGGTCCTGCTAGCTAGGGATCATGGGAGTTGTAGGCCAAAAACATCTGGAGGGCCGAGGTTGAGGAAGCCTGGTCTAGATGATTGAAAGAGATATTAAATATCCAATTGCGTCAAAAGAAGGAGATGATTTTAAGAACTTGTGGTAAGACAGCCATGGGCGTAGCCAGGTTTTTTTTGTAGGGGGCAGAACCTCAGTTTGCTATGTATTTTTATTGATTTAGGGGGGGCAGCTGTCTCTCCCTGCCCCTCTTGGCTACACCCATGAGACAGCCACCCAGAAACGCCCCCCCCCCAACAGGCAACCCAAAGACTTGAGTCGATGCATATGAAATATGGCTCAGGCGATTTCAGCTGGACAAATGAACCGCACCTATTTTTAAAGGCGTTTTCTTTCTTCAAATCCCCGTGTTTGGCAAAAGGATCCGTTTCCCCATTGCATGACTCTGGGTAGAAGGACTGTCCTCTTGTTAGTGGTGGTCATTCCAGCTGAACATATCCGGAATAAAATGCTCTGGTCTTTATCAGTGCGGGAACCATTTAGGCTTATTTCGTGGTTAACTAATTTGGATTATCCTTGCAATCAGCGAGTTTAACCCGCGTTAAGATATCTGTAGCGTGAACGCGCGTTAAATACTCTTGCTTCTAGACTGAGCTGAGGTAGGTTCGGATTCACTGAAAGGGGTTCTGACACTGTCTTTATTTGCACTGAAGTCAAACGTTCCTGGGGGTGGGGAAAGGAGAAATTAAATAATCTGGGGCGCAGCTTTCCATCCTCGGAAGTCACTGGGCAACTAAAGTGAGTCCTCTGCCCCCCCCCAAGTCCCCCTTGGGTTAACGAGGTAGAGTTTCTATTCCACCCGGAGCCTTCTAGGCTGTGAGACGCTTCAAAAACTCGGGAAAGTCCTCTTCTCGCTTGAGACGGGGGCTGCAAACTGAAATCGCTGGGGAGGGAGCAAAGTTTTGTTTGCTTTTAAAGAAATTAACAAAACAAGTGGGCGTTGTTGTTAATTGTGGTTTTTGTTGCACAGGCTGCAGCCAGACATTCTTTTGCTTCGAATTAACTAACCGCGAGAGAAACTCCCCCACCCCCCGCGCAGCCTTACTCTCGCCCGTCAAAACCTGGGGTCCCTAGAGCCGAATCGAATTCGGCTCACGACGTGTAAAGCGATAGCCATGACCTCCCCTAACCAACCACTTCTCTCCCCCTCCTCCCCGCTCCTTTTTTTGACGTGACCTGCTTAGAGTATTAGGCCATCTGGACTTGGCAAGGCGCTAGACCGTCTCACACACAGACCCCTCCGCCTCCCCCCCCCAAAAACCCCCCAAACCAGCTGCTTTTCCAAACGACCAATACGTTAATTCTTGACAGCACTGGCAATCCCCCCACCGCCACTTTCTAGTTCCTCATCACGATCATTTTGAAAAGGGAGAGGGAGCGTCCCTCCCTCCCCGAACCTTGCAAACAAGTGGCAATTTTGAATTAGTGTGAGCATTAGAGACAATCTGGAAACACCCTCCCCCTCTTCGCTCGTGGGGAGGGGAAGAGGCCGGTCCGTCCTATCTAGGGACATATATCTCCCCCCAGTTTAAAAAAAAAAAGAAGAAGAAGAAGAGAGAGAGAGAGAGAGAGAGAGAGAGAGAGAGAGAGAGAGAGAGAAAGTGAAGTGGATCATTGCAGCCACAGAGGAGAATATGAGAGTCTGGGTTTTTATTGAATCATCAAATCCCCACGAACGGAGCTCTTAATTAATTTTGGGTGCGAGCAATGCAGCCCAGCTGTTTCCTTTGGAGTGGAGTTGTTCGGAGACAGACCCGCAGGAAGAAGGGAAAGTCTGCGGGCAGGCTGCTGCTTCCCCCTCCTCCATTCTCCCCCCCCCTCCCCAGCGCCACGAAAGCGTATCCTAGCGTTCGGCCCTCTCCTCACGACCAAAAAAAGAAAAAGCCACTTGTAACTGACAGATGGCTGATTGTAGACTCGCATTCCTGCAGCCTCCTTACCTCTACAAGATGCGGGGAGGGGGAGATTGGTGAAAACCAAAGAACGATTGGTTTGGAAAGAAAGAAAGAGAGAAAGAGAGAAAGAGAGAAAGAGAGAAAGAGAGAAAGAAAGAAAGAAAGAAAGAAAGAAAGAAAGAAAGCAAGCTCGTAGCAGTGTAGGGAGACTTCGTATGTTAACCACACATACATTTTCACACAGAGACATATATATGATTAATATGATTTATTTTAACATGCCTCCCCCCGCGCGTCTCTCTCTCTCTCTCTCTCTGTGTGTGTGTGTGTGTGTGTGTGTGTGTGTGTGTGCGCGCGCGCGCATATATGGGATGTTAAAATAAGTCACATTAACCAGATATAATTTCCACTCCTCTCCTGCCCTTAATAATTCTGGGCACCGTGCATATCAAGTAAGTGAAGTGCTATCACAGGTTGATAAAACACAGGTATTTCAGTTGCAGAGTGGTACTTAAGCCTCTCCCCACGCCTTTCGGGAAAATGAATGAGATTGAACTGGATCGGGTCCCTGACAAGAAGGCGAGTCTTTCTGATGGGAAAGAAACGGACTTTTAGTGCGTATCTGCTCTTAAGAGAAAGCCGCGGCCTTACTCAGAGAGAAAGAAGGGGAGCTGGCCG